TTTAAAGGTAGTAGAGGACATGTACCTGTATATAAAAAACGCGCCCTATAGTCCGGTGCGCCTTATGTGTGTGTTAAATACAGAAATGGGACACATAGCTGGGAGTGCGCCTTTTAGTACGGTGCGCCTTATGGTCGTGAAAATACGGTAGATACATTAGGCTATGTATGCTTCCAAAAAAAATTCCACCATCCCCCTTCTTTTTTTTTTTTACAACTCGACTACGGCCTATATCGCATTGCTTAAGTCTAACCACATGAACAATGAGGTGTCTAAAATATTTAGCAAGCGAGGAAGCCATGTGGCAAGGTCAGTTGAACAAAGTTGTTCTAAGTGTTTGTTGTGAGGATGATGTTGGAGAAATTAACCCTCCTCTAAAGTCCATTGTGACTGCACAACATTGATTTGCCCAGTCTCAAAATTTCTGGGGCAAAGCCGGCTGGGCCAACTCATGATGGGAAGTTTTTTTTCACTCTTACTGATCCATTGACTGAACGTGTTATTTGTGCCCTTAAAATTTATGATGGTAATTATACTATAAAATAAGGCTCTTTAGACACCTGTTGGACATTCGTATTGCACCTTTTATTATTTAAATGTATTGTAATCTGAATCTAAACTTCTAAATTGATAGAAAATTTATAGAAATTGTGTGAATTATTTGGGTATTTTGCAAAAAGAAACAGTTTTTTATTGTCCTTACTGACCTAAGGTCTGATTTGCTCTCAGTGAGAGAAATGTTTACTTGTGTTTTCACAGTGTCTTTAGATATCTCTTTTCATCTGCAAATAGAAACAATGTTCTCAGAATCAGACAGCCATCATTATGCTGAAACTACACCCCTATCTGTTTTAAGGCCTTTTGACTCTTCATATGCCATTTCCCTTTAAAATATAAAGCCACATGGTTTTGCAGAGTTTCCACAAGATGTTACTGGCTGATATTCCCAGCATATTCTAAAGGGCCCACAGTTTACAGCAGTCTACAAGAAACAATAAAAAGCTCTGACTGTGTCTTTGTTCACCTGACACACAAATGTGGCAACATGTCCTCATTTAAAAATAAAACATAATTGCCTAAGCAAGCACTTCCGGTTACTGGTGGACTTCCACTAACTCTAAAAATTACATATATCGTTTTTGGAAACTACATTATGATCATTTCCCGTTATGAAAAAACTCAGGCGCCACAAAGATGGACAAAGTCTGTGAGCAGTAGTTGTGAAGATATTACTCAAAAACAAGATTTTCATCTGGGTTCTGGTCAGAATGTTCTGTCTGGCTTGGTTAATGTACAACATTTCTAATACCAATACAGTAAATAAACAAATTTCATAGTGCTAACATATTCTCAGTCTCCCTAGGAAAGCCAATACCAGGGTGTTGGAGAAGAAAGCCTGGCTGATTGCCAAACCTCAGCTACAGGAGGGGCATTGTTTTATGTTTCGGGCGTGTTTTGGGCTCTACGCCCTCTGCAGGGTGCTCGAAGGGTCATGGGGAGGTTGTTCTGTTGGCTCCCTCTAAGACCAACAACATGTGCTCAGGCAGATCTTAGCTAAGTGCGAAGTGGCCAGGATGAAAATTCCCTCTTTAAATCTAAGGCCATGGTTCTTAGCATGAGAAAGGAGACTTTTCCCCTTAAGGTGGGTAGAGAGTTTCTTTTATAAGGGGAGGAGTTTAAGTATCTTGGGTCCTTATTACGACTGAGGGGAGAATGGAGCTACAGAGCAACAGATTGGTGTGGCTGCCCTAATACGGACACTGTACTGTTCTGTTGTGGTGAAGAGAGAGAGGTCTAAAGTCCTACCCTCACCTATTGTCATGGAATCTCGAACATGACCGAAAGAACAGGATTCTAAATACAAGCATTTTAAAAGGAGTTTTCTCTAAAGGGTAAATGGCTGGGCACTCCCTTAGAGTTAGAGTGAGAAGCTTGGTCATTAGGGAGAGGCTCGCAGTAGAGCCGCTTCTTCTCCACATCAAGAGGAGTCAGCTAAGGTAGCTTGGATATCTTTTTCTGGACGCCAGGTGTTCCAGGCATATCCCACCAGGAAGAGGCCCAGGGGAAGACCCAGAATACTCTGAGATGACTATGTCTCTCAGGAGACCTGGAACATATCAGGCTTCCCCTAAGGACTTAAGGGGGTGTCTGGGGAGAGGGGAGTCTGAGAACCTCGGCTGAGACTGCTTCCTCTGCAGCTCAGTCCCAGACAAGAAATATGAGCACAGGGAGTATGAGTACACAAATGTTAACATTATTGTGACTAGTAATAAATATGTTAAACTGTTATTATAATATTTAAATTTAGACGGCACTAATTCTTTGAGATGGGAAGGCCCTCTAGCCATATGTCTAATCTTTCACTTCCCCTACATGTTCTGCATCAGATTTATTTAAAAAGAAACAAAACAGGCCTCTTCAAAATGTTAATTTTCTTCTGGTCAGAACTGTCACGGTTTTGGTTATATTGTGCTTCACTTTGCTCTATGTTCCCTAGTTTTATTGGTTTTATTCCTTTTTTTGTAATTTCTAGATTTGTTAGTTCTCATGTTTTTCTGTTGTCCTCTGTAGCCCTCTTGTGTGTGTATGTTCCTTTCCCCTTGGCTCCCTCGTTGTCTCCTCTCACTCCTGCTCCTTGTCAGCTCGTTAGCCCTCCCTTTGTCTCTGTCAGCTATTTATGCTCTCACTCTGCTCTCACTCTTTGTTGGTTCCTTGTTGTTGCTGGTCCTGTCATCGCTGCAATCGTCTCCCTTCGTCTACGTGTTTTCCCTTGATGTCTCCATGGTTCTGGTCTGTTACATTTTAGTTGAATTTTTGGACTGCCTTTGTTAACCATTTTTTCATTAAAACTACAAGTATTCACCTCAGCCTCTCAGCCTTTGCATTTGGGTCCTCCAAACCTCAACCTAGACGTGACAAGAACAAACATGTTTGCAAAACATGTTGGTAAAAGATATTAATATTTTGGGGCTTGGCTGTTGATAATATTTGGCATTTTTGTTTAGAATAGATTGTAAGCATGAAACTGGTACCTGGTGCATGATACCTATTGAAAACGAGGAAATACTACAAAAGGTCGTAAAAGTTGTGATTGCAACTCTTACAATTAGAAAAAAAAAAATCCTATCATACTTTTTAAATTCATCTAAAAATGTGATCAAGTAATTTGATGAAACACAAGTTAACCTCATGCCTGCAGGTCCTATCTGCTATAGGTTTCTCTTTCATTTTCTACTCATGGAGTTCAGCTGCCTCCCACTTTTTTTTTTCTTTCTGAGAAAGCTTCAAACAGTCCAGATCAGTGGTTAATTGTTGATCATTTTGGAAAATCCAAAAGATCCACTAAGAAATCTGAACTCATGAGTAACAGGTGAAATACCTCATCCCAGTTCTTGGTTTCAGTCAAGGTGTAAAGTGTAAAAAGAAACATCTCTGGTGGCTTTCTTCAAGGTAGTGTTTGATTTGACTCTTACAATTGCTTCCCACATGTTTAGCCTCAGTGTATCTGTGCCTGTAAGTTATAAAGACTTTAAAACCAGCCAAGCAGAAAGACGTGTCAGATTACCAAATCTAAATCGGATATATGAATAATTTTGGCCTGCAAAAAAACACTGGAGTAAGCAGAACAGAGGATGGGTATCGGTTGAAACAAGTGCCACAATGATTTAAAAATAAGTTCACATTTAAGTCACCGGGGGAAAAAAGGCAGATAAATGACAAAAAATGATCTCATGGGTTTCGGTAGTGTCACATCAGCACTTTAAAATTGTCTCAAAAGCAAAAAATAAAGATAATAAAAGTAAAAAGGATGTTGCTTTATGAGTGGCAACACCAGTGAGTCAAACTGCCACAGTGTTTACCGACAGTACAGTGTTTGTCACAGAGGCCCTTACTGTGGTTTTGATGAAGGGGCCTTCTTGTTTCAGCACCTGTGTAGAGACAACCCCGGACATTTGTTCCCAGCACCGACACCGGCCCCTTTTACGGTACGTGTGACACAACAGCAGCTCACCAGAAAGGAAAGAGGAGGTTCAACCCATGTAGATGAGCCTCCTGCTTCCTGCCACAACACTCCCACTCTGAGGGACTCGCACACGTTTCTCTAGACACACACAATGATGTAGTCTGCCACATAACAACCCCCCTTTTTATTTATACATGAAACAGATCGAAACCTTTCATGGCTTATGCCTAAGACTTACACCTAAAAGTAAGTAGGACCGAAAAGTTTGTCAGAAGACTTTCATTCTTTCTGGTGGTTCAGCAGGTTCACAATGCTGAAGTCTATAACCTTTTGATGTCAGGTTGCAGTTCTCAAGAACCAAAAAAGACAGCCGCACACAGTCCTTAGGTCAAAGTGGTTATTAATGATTAATATCTTTATTGTTATACAGTAAATGATAACTTACAAGGTTTGGTTTATTTATTTACATCTGTGTACATAAGAAAAGGTTATTCTGCTGGCCAGAAAATATAATTAGATCTGTCTCAAGATCTGAATAAAAGAGTCAGTTTTTTCACCTCCATCATGTGTTGTTTTTATTTTGATATTAATAATAATATATTCATAATTTAACTACCATATATATTTGTATTCAGCCCGTCAGAGTTTTGTAACCCTCGTTTTGCTGCAATTACACCTTTGAGTCTTGTGGGATAGGTTGCTACCAACAGTGAGCAGCTAGGGACAGAAAAGTCCCTCCTTCTTTACAATATACCTTAACTCAATATCAATACAATTCTTCTGATGCTGGAAGGTGAACTTCTGCCCCAATTTTAAGTCTCATCCTGCCAATACATGTGTGAGTTTGTAGCAGTATCAAAATGCAGACAGGAACTGGGCAGCTGCTTGAGGCACCTCAATATTTAATAATAATCAACCACAAACTTACACAGGCATGAGAAGCAAATGGAGAGAACTGGGCGGAGTGATTGACCATCTGGTAGAATAAAGGAAGAAACTGTCAATGAGTAATGGAAACCAGGGAGCTTATATACAGAGGCAGATGTGGGTTTAAAAATGTGAGGCAGTTAGGTGGAGATAAGCAGAAAGTAAAGGGAGCTGAGGTAGCAAAATGAAAAAAACAAGAGCAAACAGAAATTGATTTAGGGGAAAAATCCGAATTGAGATAGACTGAAATGAGAATCCAATTTACAAAGGCATAAACTAAAATAGTACCAACCAGTGAACAAGAATAGCAGGAAAGAGTCAGATATCATGATAGCCCCGCCGATGATGTTTGAGATCTTCATGATGTTTGTTTTCCACCACAAAGGGCTTTATAGGTACATATATTTATGTCACTTTTAACAAACTGTAGAGGGGACTTCCAAAGGTTTTCTTTAAGCAATTCAATGATCCAATTAAGTTTTCATTAAAGGTCGGATGTGTGGAGCTATCATAAATTTAGCCCACCTGAGCAGCAGATCTGTGTTTCCTCCAGTGTTAACAATAGGCCTTTTGGCTCCTTCACCTATTAATTCTTGCTAAATTTCTTGGTTTAGTTGGATGACTATGTCATGGATTGTTTTGTAAGTTTGTAGTTGAGTTGCTGAAAATTTACAAATTTATTTTCCAACATCGTCATAATATTTGTTGACTAATGTTCCCTAACAAATCACCGAAGCCTTTACAGAACAGTAATATAGAGACTGAAATATCTTATAAAAAATTCCCTCTGAAAATAAATTCACATATAGGTAACAGAGTCAAGGGACCATTTCAAATAAATAATTCCATAATTATCAGATTGTCAAAGATGTAAAATAAAAAAATAAAAAACACAAAAAAGCCAAAACATTAGAATTTTTTTCTGTCACCACTTCCCAATAATGAGTTTTGTTTATTTGTCTATCTCATAAAAGCACAGGAAATATCAAGGTTGTAAAGTTAAAGTATTTGTAAAAGTTGTATTGCCATCAAATATGGATGATAAAATAATACAAGAAACTTGTAATATTTGAATGATAATAAAATAACCAAACATGTGGTTGTTAAAAAATGAACATGTTAAAAAAAGTTAGCAAATACATGAAAGAAGAATATATATACTGTATATATATATATATTTTTTAACAGCCTCTAGTAGTTTTAACTCCAACAGACTTTGGTGGTTGTGCCCATTTCTATACACTCCTGTATCCTCGATCTATGGTAAAAAGACAAAATGGAAGAAAACTGGAATAGTCTTTGAAAGCATGTTTTGGTTTAAGGAAATATATAATTAATAGTATTTTTAAAGTTACTTACTCTTTAACTGAATGGCAGTATAAAGAAATTTCTGGATCCAGGATGTTCCGTAGCACCTGCAGAGACTCATGGCTGCAATCTACGCTGAAAACATCAAAGCAAAGTCAGCACAAATAAAAGAGTTGCATACAGTGTATAATTCACCAGATCAAATGTGCAAAAATGAGGCAGTGAAAATAGTCATAAATCAATTTGGTTATAAAGATACTGTGTGATTTTATATTACCCAGCAAACATGCCGAGTCATTTTATGGAACCAAAATACAAAGGTCAATATCACATGGATTCATACGATTACCACACATAAACTGAGAAATTAGCATCTCTTATAAGAAACAGATCAAATATAATAAAGAGATAGGGTTAGGGTTAAACTTACTTATTGTTTTTGGTAACAAGAATAACAGTCAGGCTTTGCACTCTGGGATACATGAGCTTCCTAACTTCAATGGATCCAAAGTAGCTGGCAGAGCAAAGACATAACTATTAGATAAAATTGTAAGGCATCAACTCCTAAATAATGCATAACATCTAAACTGCTTTATATTAAATAAATTATTAAAAGTAATGTTGAAAATAAAAATGAAATTTAAATAAATATATAAACAGTGACATCTAGAGGTCAACATTAAAACAGCAACCATCTTGGGGGAAAAGCTGCAGTCTGGGATGGAAAGCACTAAAAAAAAAAAGAACAAAAAAAAAAAGGTAATGAGCAGACAATCAACCCTACAATCTATTAAAAATGTCTGCATCAACAGTTAACTGCCTATGATTTCAGGCCAACCCTGTATCATGCTTGTAGTTGTTGTTGAGAGGTTAATTTCTTGGGTCCAAACTGGTCTATGGATTGCACCGTGGACATACATGCTCTAGGTGCTCTAGGTTTCATGCCTAGTTGCAAGAAAGGTGGGACCAGGTCATTGTTTTGCAAATCTTAAGTGCGTCTCATGTATTCATCCTAAAGCTGCAAGCAAATACAGTCAAGTCAGAATCAAGTGTAGAGTTTTTTTTTTATAAATCTGTCTTCCTCTCAAAATGTCATGAAACTACAGCAACTAAATATCTGCTAATAGGACATGATTAAAGTCAGATATTTCATTGTGGCAAAAGAAAATTACAGCCTACCGCTCTTTATGCAACTTGAAGTTTTTAGACAAATGATGACCTTCTGCTCAATGTGCCCAATCGCTGCAGTCAACTGTATAATGCAAGCGAATGATTCCTGTTGCCACATGCTTATTCCTGAGGAATAAATCCTGGCAAGTCAATGTCTCAATGTACTGTTTCATTGAAAGGAATCCTCTTAAACTAAAGTATGTAATAATTGCAGGGATTTACAGACAGAATTCAAAAGAACTGTCTTTGTAAAGTGCTTTGAGGTGAATTGTTATAATTGGCATATAAATAAACCAAAATGAATGAACAAAGTTGGAAGCTGTCTGGTCTTTCTGTGAATATTGTCTTACATGTTTTGCAGGCTGCATTCAGTTTTGTTTGAAGTACTTGGTTTAAGTACCTGAAAGAAATGTTTTGTGCATATTTGTATTCGTTTTGTTTTAATCTGGTTAATATGATCGGTTTTGCTGAAGCTCATGCATACAAAGTCTGGAAAGACAGAGAGATACAGCCTGAATTAATTGAATTAATGTTGAATATTTTATCAACAAAAGGTGTTTTAAACTTTAGATTTTCGGTAGAATGTCATGTCCTTTCAACTGAGCAGGTTCAAGTCCAATTCAAGTCCAGAGTCATTGGTGTAAAAGTCCAAATCACGAGTCTCTGAGCATTTTTTTTAACCCAAGTCTGAAGTCACAAAATTATGACGCAAGTCGGACTCCCTTCTTCTGATTGCTAATCATTGAAAGTATATTTGTTACATCTGACAACCAGATTGAGTGGTAACTATGCTAGATACCGTCTCCCTTTTTAAAACGACCCTATTTACAAATACCTAGGGTCAATGTAAACCACACTCACCTGGTGGGATCGAATGGTTTGCTTATCTCTCCATTTAGCATAACACTGGCATGTCCACAAGAATAATTTGCAAACTGCGTATATAGCATCAAAGGGGAAAAAAGTTAATTAGAAAAAAATACACAGTGTTTCAGGGATCAAAAAACAAACTTTGTCAAACTTGAATATTATATTTCGTTTTGGGAGAAGTTGAAGCATTCAAATATTTTTTCTGAAATGTCTATTCCTTTACTGTAATCAGTTGCAGCATTTATTTATTTATTCATTATTAGCATTTATGCCCCTTTACTTTAATATCTGGGCATGTTCTGCACATCATCCATGGAAGTAAGGGATGATGGGATCACTGTATTATACTAATTAATTTATCTAGCACTGGGAGCTGACAATATTATGACCAGATCGTACTGATATAAAGAAGAGGAAGAAAAAACCTATAGCAACTGTTCACAGTGGTGATTATGACTGTAGAAAAGACTGTGGACAATTAGGCAGAGCCAGAATACCTATGAAAAAGAGCTGTATTAATGCTACATTTACACTCTCAATTGAGCCATTCAAATTGCCATTAAAAAGTTGGATATGAGTATCATTTGTTTATGTAGCCGAGATAATCTATCAACCAAGAGGGAAAGATAGTCCCAAAGAAAACACACATTTATGGCCCATGAGGCCCAGGTTACGTGTGTTGGTAGGCCTATCCCATTTTCACTTGGTTTAGCAGGCAACAGTGCCGGAAACCGCAACACACTATATATCGCAAAGGCCCGCCTCTATCATCTATTTTCATGACATAATTTTTCACACATATATGCATTACACATCCATGAATTTATACTAATCCACTGTCACCGATGCTTAAATTCTACTGTGGTCCAGAAATGTGATACACAAAAGGCTGCAACAACATGGTGGGGGATGTATTTTGCCAAGCTCACTAAAAGCCAGGTAGGTATGCTGGGTAAGATTCTCAGTTATCCAGGTCATTGTCAAAAAAAACAACAAAAAAAGTCCAAAACAAACAACTGGACTTTGTTTTCCAAGTTTGAAGACTTTTCCCTTCCCATTCCGAAAGCTTTCGTAATTTAAAATGTCTGGAGTAGTGTTGAGCTCGAGGCTTTATCAAGTAGCCCGATGAAGCCTTGGTATGGCTTAGAAAACATGCAAATCGAATTGAAAACAGGTCCGCTCATTTGTAATGGGGTGTCATCAAAGTCATTGTTGGCCTGCAAATTAACCTTTTGATTGATGTGGTTTTGGGAATCAACTCTAATGCTGTGTCATAGGTATTTGAGTGAAAGGAAGCCATTTACGTTAAGAGAGAAAAAAATTACCTTAAACAGAGTGGGAGGACTCAGGTTTCAGCTCTCAAATACCTACAACGTAGCGATCCTCATCGCCATGAAGGGGGTCAAACATTGTGCCTGTTAAGCCAGGCCAATAACAACCCTAATAACTCCGCATTAGAGGTATGGGCCAGTTTTAAGTGAATTGCAGGCCAACATTGATTTTAACCACTCCTCATTACAAAGGGGTGGACCTGTTTTCGTTTTAATTAAAACATTCTACTCAATCCACCTTGTTGGGTATATAAAGGCCCCCCTGTGGGTCCCTTTCTTATAAGGGGGAGTGTTACAGCCCTAGCTTGTACAGTATGTATTGGCGTGTCTTCTCATTTTTGCTCCTTCTTTGCAGGTGATACTGTTTGGGAGTCGTTAAAGCCAACAACGACTTTAACGACTCCCAAACAGTATCACCTGCAAAGAAGGTGATACTGTTACAGCATATAAAGGTCTGTCTCTTTCCAGATTAACGGAGAAACAAATAAATCTGTTAGTGAGAACACAAAAAGATAACAAAAGTTTATGCTGCTTAAACTAACTAAACTATAGGCTTAAACTGATGCTTTGCATTAGACTTCAAGGTTTGGAACAACTATTTTTTCCATTTTAATAATTGTTTTATCTTTTTTTGGCTTTACATCAATTGACAGATTTGACAATGTTTAAATTCAAAGTTGTGTCTTCATACTTCATGTTGAATATTTCTCTGTTTATTGAGCAGTAATTATTTGTGGATACTTACCTCTGCAGAGGCTCTGACCCAGAATGCAGATACAGGGTTCATTTTGCATTCTTCACAGAAGTAGATGAAGGTCTCTATTGCAAAACCAAATCACAATTACACATGCAAGATCCTATGCAGTAAATGTGGATAGCAGTCCTTGTTCTTGCCTTGGGTGCCCTTCCTCCCACACCAGGTCAGATCATTCATTATGTGTCCTAGCAGGGTGCCCTCCAGGGTAATAAAATTATCCCTTTTCTCAGTGAATTGATGCACCAGATCTTTTGTGCCGCTCCAGAACATTGTCTGAACACAATCAAAATAAAGACATTAAAACCTGCAAATTGTGCATTTTAGACAGATTCTCTCACAACCAGTGTCATTTACTTTATAACATGAATGTATAAAGGGGTTCTTCACAAAGAGCTGATGATATGCTTCCTCTGGAAAGTTGCAGGAGTCCTTCCCAAAATATGCTTCCTCAAATGTCCTTAAAATATCCTCACATCTGGAAAGTAGAACAGAGCAAAAGAGCAGCAAAACTATGAGCAAGCATTTTGTACCTTAATGCACCCATGCTTAACATGCATTTTGAAGGAATTCAAGAAAGGATTACCTTTGGCTTGTCTCTGGGAAAGCTTGACATTTCTTCCTGAATGTTGCCCTGAACTGGGCCGTTCGAGGAGAAAGTAGAACCGCCAGTGGAACCACAATTAGAATAGCTACAATAAGGACACCAGCCGTTATGGCAAAATTTGTTTTAAAGCCAATTTCATAAGCTGCATTACCACTTAAGGCATGTAGGAGGAATGGAATGATTCAAGAGAGTAGCAACTAAAAGAAGTGGTCATATAATGCTGGAGCGTAATCAGGCACATTGCCAGTGGTCAAAGGTTGTTCATACTGACTATGTGATGTCAGTTGTGTAAAGCAGTGGTGGACAATTCTAGTTCCTGATGACCAGTATCCTGCAACCTTTAGATTCACCCTTCGTCCGACACCTGATTCAGATAACTGAGTTACTTCCTCACTATGCAGTCAGTTACTACAGAGTCCTCTCAATTATCTAATTACTTGATTCAGGTGTGTTGCAGCAATTGGAATTGCCCACCCCTGAACTAATGGATGGACAAATGCAGCATTGACTTTGGATATTTAAATCAGTGTCTCTAGAAGTAACTCAAGAATGTAGTTTAAATATATTCTTCTTTCTTTATAATTCAGTTAGCATCACTTTTGTTAAGACAATGTGGGCGGTAAACACTTCTAGGCTGATTAAAGTTTAACAACCCTAAAGATAAAAGATAAATTAGTGCTTGAGACCAAACAGAGAGGTCTTTTATGCTAAGATTCAGTTATGTCAAGGAAGTGTAAGGATACATCTGCATGTTTGATGATCTTGACATGTATTTTTGTGGATTCAATATTCTTAATTTTGGTCGATACAATAAAATTTTGATATTGATAATAAAAAAAATTAAGCCTCAACAAAGTCGGCCAAGAATGCCAAAAGATGACTCTAGAAACTTATGTCAATTATTTTGGCTTGTTTTTAAAACTCTTCCAGCATATTTCAGAAATATTTGCTTAAAAAAACACATAAAACTCTTTCTCTGGTAAACATTTGCACTGCAAGAAAAGAATTTCCCTCAAGCGCTCAATAAATCAATTCTGTCTCTGAAAACCCTGAATGTCAGTGAATGTTAATACTAATATGTCAAAAAATGTTTAAAGTCATATTGTTGATCTTTAATTTAAATACAAAACAATATACAGTGAAATACAGTCCCTCCATAGTAATTGGTTTGCAAATAATGAATGTTTTAGAGTTTCTGGTCAAGCATATGTGTTATTTGAAGTAGCTGTTACTCCAGCTGGGCAAAAACAGATATGTAATACAACAACAGAAATGAACTGTAATATTCTTTTTTCTTAAGAGTAACACGGTTGAGAGTTACACATACACCAGGTTAAGGCTAAAACATTAGAAAATTGAAATACTGAAAAAGGATGTAACTTAAATCTATTGAAGATGAGACTAGTAGCTAGATGGCGTTGTAGTAACAGGGCTGAGTGTCTATCGAGACATAACTTCATACAGTAGCCTAATTCCTACTATTCATATTATGTCTGAATGAAATGTTTGAATCATTACCTAGAAGGTATATCAACAAACACATATGACAAAAAAATTTATGTAAAACTTTTTTTAATCTGTTAAACCAGATTTGTAAATTGGTCATTCTGATGGTGAGAAAAAGAAGCTTTTTTATTGGGTTCTTGAAATCCACTCTGTATTTTAAATAAATTGTAAAAATCAATAATTTTTAATACAGCTATGGTTAGATTTTTCATCAGGGCAGTTACATGTTATGTAACGTACAACCAAACATTTAGTTCGGCCCATGGCGATAGCTGAGAGAGCCATGTCACAAAGATAAATCCCATCTAGGGATAACTCCTCAAGATAAGAGTCACAGGAATCCTCTGCTACTGATTTGGAAATGTAAGAATTGAGGCTAAAAAACAAATAAACTGTGATACAGCAATCCAAATTGGGCAACTTAGTTATACCTGTAAACACTATAAAGCACAGTTCTCACATTGCTTATGGATTTATCTTTAGGGAGAGCACATTTTTTAATGTATTTAAACATTTGCCATTTTCTGACTTGTAATTTGACTGAGATCCAATGAAAAAAGTAAAATAAATAAGGGTTCCACGGCAGCGAATTGAACAAAAGCAAACAATAAATCTCATCAAACTGAAAGACAAGATTTAAACAAGTAAGATATTAAAACCAAAGACTATGAAAATATATAGATAGAACCCAGTTTTCTGCTGCCAAATTGAAAAATATTAACCTTTACATTAAAAAAAAAACAACTTAACAACTTATTTTACGGATTTTTTATTCCAAAATTTGAGCACTTTTATCATAAAAGTAATATTTAAAAAAGATTCCCCAGTTAAGCTTTTTAATAGTACAAAGACATAATCCATTTTCAACAGAGCTACAAATACTAAAGGATTCTAAATTTGGTTACAAAAGTTTACCACTAAGAAACAAAAAAACAAAACAAACAAAAAAAAACCCGGCTCCATCAGAGGATTCTTTCAATGTCACCAGCAGGAACCACAGGATTTATTTTGGTCAGAGATGCACTCCTGAATCCGAGACCTATGACAGAAAATTCAGTAAGACAGTAAGGCATATAGACATTCAGTCAGTCTCTAATCATGTTTTACTCACTTCTGCACTTCCAAACAGCTGTAGATGATCCCTTTATCCAGCATGTTCTGCAAGTCTTGTAAAGATTTGTTTTTGCAGTTCGTCCTGCAAACATACAAATAGGATGTTTTTTTTCTTGTTTATTTTTTTTTTAATTATTCCATCATTCAGCCCGATACTTAATATAATGTTAAACCCGAGAGCTGCAGTATATTAGATAAAAGAGAAAATCTTACACTGAATTCATGTCGGTGACCAGGACAACAGTCACTTTTTTCACTTTGGAGGACTTAAATCTCTTCACCTCAACGGTGGCAAAAATGCTGGGATAAAAAACAAAATAGGGCAAATTATTTCCAATTATGAAGTTTTTATAGCACACATTAAAATTGAACATCTACTCTTAGAATGCAATAGCAGATTGGATTCTAGGTGATAAATGATAATAAAAAAATATATTATACTTGGAAACAAGCAGTGAACTGTCTTTTAGCTGTTAGGAATACAGTTTGTGTGGATTGTTTGTGTGTCCCTTCTCTCTCCACCACCAGGTGGTGCCCTGTCCTCGTTGGTCCTTCATGCACACCTGCGGCTCGTTGGTTCATTACTGCAGGAGTATTTGAGCAGTGGACTGCCACTACCTCGATGCAAGAGTTGTTTGCCAGTTTTGGATACTCTAGCCAAGCTGAGATTAGCTGAGTCTAAACCTTGTTTCCCTGAGTCTTATTTTGATTTTGTCTTTGCTCTTTGGCAGGAAGTCTTCCTGTGTAACTGGATACCTGGACCTGCTCCCCCTGGAAGGATTTACTGAGTACACACTGATCAGGGGAAAACCTTCAAGTGACAGTCCGCTCCATTACTCCTCCGGGTCCAACGTATGTCTACCTATCCATCTACTTTAGAACTGATATCTTTATGTTACTCATTGAGGCCTTGTGGGGTGGGGTGGTGCAGACTAAGGCTTTCCTATAAATTTAGGCCTGTCACGATAACAAATTTTCCTGAAAGATTGTCTCAAAAATTATTGCGATAAACGATAATATTGTTTTAAGACTTTTTTACACTGATTTAATGGAAATGACATAATAATGCATGCATTTTCCTGCCAAAGATAAACATGCTTTATTTTCAACAGAACACTTAACACTGGAACTTGTTAACAAAATAAAACGAGAAATAAAAATCAAATGGACTCTCAGTCTCTGTTAACTAAAAATACACTTGAATAAAAACTAAACACAAGATAAAACCACAGTGGAAATAAAAACGTTGTATGTACAACATATCACGTTTGTAATATGTATGTTTTCCTCGGGAGTTCATACTGTCTATCAAATGTCTGCAACATTTTTCGAAATGCTGGCTTTTCAACAATATTAAACGGGAGCATCTCTTTAGCAATTAAAAGAACTACACTGTCTGTGAGAGCGCACCACTTTGCGCCGTCGTTTTTGTATGCTGCCTGTCGATTAATTGCTTCAGTGATGGTGGACTGTCGCAAACTTGAAGACGCAGGCGGGCCACCGCTTGTACTTTTTGTCCCCAGCTGGAGAAACTTTGCTGAGTGGTTGTGCTTTAAGTGCATGTGTAGGTTGGTTGTATTGCTGCTTTGAGTTGCTACTGTTTTATGACAAATGCGACATACTGGCTCGCATAGGTTCAGCGGTTCGCCTCGGTCATTTGGTTTGAACCCAAAATACTCCCACACTGCAGCTGTTGCGCACGACTTTGAAACCAGTTCCATTTCGAGCTTTTCCCCCCCAACATAAGATGTGTTTTTTTTTTTACCTCGCTAACTCCTCTAACTCCTCACGGGGCTCTAAAGCTGCAGAAGTACAAAATGATGCACGCTGACTACCTAATACGATAGCCCTCTCTTCCTCCCTCCTCAAA